GCATGTGAGCGAGGGTGGTCCTTAACAGTTGAAGACCAACATTCATAACACCCAGAGACAGTTTTCTGGTGTGTTCACACCACACGGCATAGCATCTGAAAGAGGAGGTGTGTGTTTCTCTTTGGGCCAGTGATGCTTATGTCTGTGTGCTGGCCTGAGAGTATGGCATTCAGTGCCTTATTAGATCCCTTCCATTAATGCCTGGGAGTCCTGCTCTCTTATTATTCATGACTTTCTCCCATCACCAGCACATCCAATATGTGGCCCATGTCTTACGGGATCCTCATCAGGAGACAGCTTCTTGACAAATATATTTACCACTGATCTCTTGTCACATGAAGGTCTGTCTCCGCCCCTGGGCTGGCTGATGGAAGGGGTGGTGAGTTGGGGTAGGGAAGGCAGGAACATATTACCTTGCTCACTGAGTCAGATGGTTCCTTTCCAGGGCTGCCTTGCAACCCTGGTTATAATGGTGCTGCAGTCAGCCTTGCCATCTGCCTTGTCTTTTCCAGTCCTCAGCCACATGTGGTGGGCTTGGAGGGCTTGATCCTGCAGGTCAGTGGGAATTTTGCCTGTGTAAGGACTGCAGGGTTCCAGGAGAAAGACGCACTTTTGTGGGGTGAGCCCCATTGCTGCCTTTCTCCTGCATGGCTTGGCTTCTCAGTCCAATTCCATGTGACAGGGTGGCCTGGCATTCTGCTTTCTTCGTGGAAGGCGTGGGGGCTGTTCTCCTGGCAGTTGTATGAGCTGTGACTATTACAATTCTTCCATGACTGGCCCCTTCACCTTACCTGGCTGGGCTGGGCCTCTCAGGCCAGATGCCTTTGTTTGATGCACTCAGAAGTTGTAGCCTGGGATGGTTGGGTAGCACCTCCTGTTAGCCTCAGCTATGGTGACCAGATAGCAAGTGTGAAAAATCGGGACAGGAAGTGGGGGGTAATAGGAGCCTATATAGGAAAAAGCCCCAAATATCAGGACTGTCCCTATAAAATCGGGACATCTGGTCACCCTAGCCTCAGCTGGGTGCACAGTTATTCCCATCCCATGCTTTAGAGGCCACACGGGGAGGATCAGGGTCTGGGGGTTAAATAATCTTTCACTCTCCTCCCTCTCCCCCATTTTATTTCAATCATTCTATTATTCCTCTCTCTTTCTCTCACACCCTGCCTCTCTCTTTTTCTCCATCCCTATATATCATCTTCCCTCTTTTCCTCTCACACCCCACATTCTCTTCCTTTTGTAACCTCATTTCCTCTCCTCCCCCCCCCCCCGTCCCTTTTCCCCAATGTTCCCTTCTCCCCGTCTTTACTCCACTCCCTCTCAGCATAGCCACTGGGACATCTGGCCTTGCTGCCCTGTCCTTTTTGGTGTTAAACTGCCTTTAAGAGGAGGGCCAAGCTATCCTGTAAGATTATGACAGTTTCACTGCCTGTATAATGAGATCCGTTGGAGAATGATGGCTTCTGCCTGGGGCCCTGGGAAACCACCCCACTCCCCAGATACATATCCTCTTTCTAAGGAGTCTTTGCTGCTGTTGCTACAGACACTCGAGCTCTGGAACAAAAAGCAGCAAAAGGTTGTGCGTAAATGGAGATCCTAAGACACGTTCCCTGCCATTTCCTTTCACTGCCATCCAGGAGCCTCACTTGCCAAGACCCTAATTGGGCCAGGCTTTGCCAAAATGGCTATTACTAGCATAGTGGCTTTCTCCACAGGTGTATTTAATTGGCTGTTCCTGCTGCTGCTGCTGTAGAAATGGCACCGACAAGAGACAAAGCAGGGAGCCCTTTGCTCTTTGGAATACCGACCTTTCCCAGGACACTGTTTTCTCCTCTCTTAGGAGCTGGAGAGAGGGACTGAGGAGGCAGCCTGTGGAATGTCTGAGTCAAGAAAAACCTCATGGGAACAGGCAGAGAGGAACCTACTAAAACTGGTAACTAGAGCTCAGCAACTCAGTGATTTTTCAGTTGGGTGGCTGAACCAAAACATCTGAAAAAAAAATTGGGTCATTTCAAACCAAAACTGATTTTTTTTTCCCCTTGCCAAAACAAAAAATTGTGTGTCTCAAACACAATTGTGAACATTGTTTGGAAGAGACACGTCAAAATGAACCATTCAGACTTCTTTGAATTCCCCCCCCTCATTTTTTTTATTCAGCCAAAACGGATCATCAAATTCAACCCGAATTCACAAATAGTTTTGGTCTCCTGGAAACTGAATTTTTCGGCAAGTTTACTATTCAACCAAATTTTTTTCCCCCCATCTCTACTGGAAATGTTACACTCTCATAGTGTGAGTTGTCAGATGCCGGCTTAGAGGGGGCCCCCGCCCCTGACAGTCAGGACCTGCTCATGCCGACCAGTCAAACCGTGTGTGAATCCCATTGAGGCTACAGCCAAGTTCAAACAGCCTTTAAGCACTGGTTTTAAAATAGGTGTAAGCTGGGGATCTTCTAACACAACTTTGCCCTGATGTAGACAGGGACTAAAAGTCTGGTTCCTGAAAGATGCACGGTGTCTTTCCCTTGATTTCAGTGTGAGTTGAGGGGCATTCAACACTTTTCAGGCAGTGCCCAGCACCTTGCAGGATTGGGTCCATATGAGAATGGACAGGAGAGGGGAAAGGATGCCACCAAAGACCATTAAAAGCTAAATTTCACAGAGAGCCACATTTCTGTGTGACCTGGTTATGCCTTGGAAAAGGCGTGGGCACCCACACATGCTCACAGAGCCATTTACAGTTCTGGCTCCTTGACTCATTGGCCAGCCTGTGATGGGAAATACAAAGTGTTTAGCAGCATTGGGCTTGCAGTACGGGATCAGACGGAGCACAGGCCTGGAGCCAACCAGCTCAAGCACAAATGTCTTTATTGTACACGAGATAACAATATGGCACTCTCCGAGAGCCAAATACCAGCAGCACGAAGTACACAAGAGGCCTTAGGCCCCGCAGATACATCCAGCTCAAACTTTGCGGACAGACGGATAACTACACATTTGTAGCATACGCAGGGAGCGTTGGGGAAATCCTCTCAATTTAAACTCTGTTGGTCTTGATCCCTGAAGAGGTCTGTGCGGCCTGCTCAGAGACGCGTGGGAAATGCCCGACTCCTGCAGGGTGGCAGAGTCTCTACCACAAGGACCAATATCTGATTCACACAGAAATGAAACCAGCCCTCTCCCTTACCTTGGGGGATGTTTGATTTGGTTTTCCATTTGTGGAGCCTCGGGATTCCCTGTCTCCCTGCTTTACCTCCCCCACAGTTCCTGCTCCTTGCAGCAGCTGGCACTATTCCATCCAAGGAGCCTCATCCAGAATCTCTCAACATCCAGATCACAGCCCGCCCTTAAACACAGGCCATAGGGAACAATCCTGCTTTTGCTCTAGAGTGCTGTTCTGGGGGAAATCTAACAGGTCTCCTCCGCTTCTCATGTCTGTGATTCAGGCTGTCCAGGTGGGGTCCTGCAAGTTCCGCAATCCGTAGAGCAGCCCCAACTCCCTCTCTGGCAGCAGACCCAGAAGGGATAGGGAAGTAGTCCCCCCTTCCCCCGAACTCTATTCTCCCTACTCCAGCAACAAGAATGGAGAAGGAGCAGCATGGGGCCCATTGCTGCTTGGAACCCATCCTGGCTCTAAGAACCGGGAGATGCTATCAAGTGACACATGGCATTCCTGCCTCGGAGGCCGAGCCTGCTGCCTCCACACCAGGCAAAGCCCCTGACTGAACAGGGGAGTGAGGGACATTTTGTTTTATGCCTGGTTTGGGAAGAAAGGACCCATTCATTCTGAAGATCTTCAGTTCAATGTAATAAGACCCTGCTCACCTAGCAGTGAGTGGGGAGCTGGCCTGGATGGAAGGGAAGATGAGCTGCTGCTTAGGGGATTTTTGGGTAGTTCAGTCCCCATGTTCATCCCCTCCCAGAACTTTCCTCACTCAATCCATTTATTTTATTAGAATGAATTGGAATCAATCTCCATTGGCTACTGCTTCTCACCAGAAAAGGAGACACAATCCTCCCTCCTTCCCACTTCCTTACCCAACTGGAGGGTCACACAGGATGTATTTGCCCTTCTTGAGAAGAACAAGACTCTCCTTAGCAAACCCCCAGACCCTGTTCCTTATCTCTTGCTCCCATCTCCTCAGGGAAGTTATTGGCCAAAGAGCAAGTAACCACAATAAAGCTCCCCCTAGAATCTGCACAGGTGAGTTAAATTCCATGCAGTCAGGATGGGAAAGAAGATCAGAAGAGGAAAGAGTATGTTATAGACCGAAAGAGTTGACTGCCCACCTATCTAGATTTATCCTCTAGGGGCAGAGAACAATATTGGGAGACTACAGTGCAGTCATGAGATGTGTGTGCTTACATTGGTGCATGTAGTTAGAGAAATAACTGTGTCTATATGGGGTTGCCTGCATGTGTATCAGCTAGTGTAGATATAGGTGAATGTGTGTGCATGTTAATGGGTTTTGTGTGTGTGTGTGTGTGTGTGTGTGTATACACACACACACACACACACACACACA